CCACCGTCGTTCTTGAAGCAGTGCTGACTGTTATTCAGAAAAGCCATCTTTTGTGCCTTATAACATTTCATTGTTAATTCCAGATTTTTCTGGATTTTGGTGCCAGTGGAGGATCTTGTTTATAAGGTGCACCATGGGTAGAAAGCACTGTCCTTGGGAAACATTTTGTGCATTCAAGTATTGGCAATGATTTGGCTAACAGGTTAGGTGTAAAGTCGCTTCGCTGCATCTCTTTGGTAGATGAAGAGATGACAAAAAATCTTCCATGCATGGACTCTGAACGAGTGAAGGAGCTTTTGCAATTTTATGGGAACAGTGATTTCTTGTTGTTTGACCTCCTTGAGCTGGCAGATTGCTGTAAGGCTAAAAAGCTCCACCTAATCTTTGACAAGAGAGAACATGCTCGCCAGACGTTGCTGCAGCACAATTTAGGTAACTGGTACTAGTTTTACAGTTTCTTGTTTGTTTAGATAATCAGTGATATAAAATATAGGTCATTCTCATGTTCTTTTTGCCACTTGGAAGGTCAAAAGGATGTTAAGGTAAGCAGTGGGTGATGATCCTTATATTATTTGGAGGTGTCTATGCTACATTTATTTTAGCTGCTGGCACATCTATGTGTGCATTTTCAGGTTTTGCGAATGTTTGATCAGCAACATGTAGCCATCTTCATGTTTATCTTAATCCATTTTCTTTTAGATCCCAATACTTCAGTGAGTTGATGGTTCAAATTACGTTAGAAAGGAAGTAATAAGAGGCTCTAAGATATGCAATTATGATAGCAGGTCCAATATGTCTGTCGTGTTATAGAGTGATCCAATCATAATACTGGACAGGTCAATGTTTAAATTTTTTTTTTTGGGTAAATGGAAGGAGAATAAAGTTTTCTTAGAAAGATCAACAAGAGGAAAAGGAAAATTTCATGAGATAGAGGGGAATTCAAAGACGGAGATAAGACATCCTCCTTGAAGATAGAGAACAGAGAACATAGAGAAGAAACAAAGAGAAGAGAGTTTCAGCCCATGGAAAACTGGCATGATCTTTTGCCCACTACGAGGCCAAGAACACCCCTCTACCTCAAAGTTAAAACGTGGTGTGAATATGCGCATGGAAGATCCTGCCATTTCATGCCCCAAAAAGATTAGAAGAATAGTAATGCTAATACTTTAAAAATCTAACAAAAACACACCCTATGTCAGCCGTCTCTGCAGACAAAAGAAATCACTTTCTTTAGGTATGGCATCAGGTGAGGAAATCTAAGAATTCATTTATTCTTATCTACTTTCTGCTTATTGGACTTGCCGTTTCCCCCGGGAAAAAAAAGGAACTGGTAATCTGTCTGGACATTTTGTACATTTCTGCCATGATATATTGTACATGAGTAAAAATGTTTTCATGGCTTTCCTTATACACTATCGTGGTCTATAAAAAAATAAAACAATAGATGAGAGTATTCTCATTACAACATTCACACATATCAATGACTTGTAGTCTGCATGTACTGACAAATTTGTGATTAGTTTATGATCCGTTTATTTATCTTTATCCGCTTCAGGTATTTGTCTTCTTTAGGTGCACAACCTTTACTAATTTATTGGAAATTGCTGATTCTTTATCTGCTTCAGTTTATTTATCTTTATCTGCTTCAGTTTTTTTTTCCTTATCCAACTATAGAGTTTGGTCTCTGGAATCATCGGGTAAATCTTTTCTTTTGGCTTCTTGACTCGTACTTTCTAATTATGATGATTCCTTTGATAAATGGTTTGCGAAGGTTATTGCTCCCTCTAAGATTGGGGTTTTTATTCTGGATTATGGTTCTTAGTAAGATTAATATGAATGATTTTCTCCAAGTTCGCAGGCTGAATTGTGCTTCAGCCTCCTGGGTTGTGTGCCATATGTTTTCATGATGCTAAGCCTCATATCTTTTTGCATTTTGATATGGCTTGGAAACTTTAATATTTTTTATTTGGTACTTATTATTGTTTCTTGGATTTCTCCTCTAGAAATTGAAGCCTCTTTTACTTTTCTTACCGGTGTTAGTAAGAAACAAGAGGATAGAGTGTTGCAGAGGAGTTGTTTGTTAGGTTGTGGCCTATGGGTGAAGCAACCTGGTCGGGGAGAAATTCTAGGTTCTTTAAAAATCATGTCTCATCTTTTTGTTAATTTGAGAAAGATGGGCTTTCTTTGTATATATTTGAATTTTTTAAATAGAAAATGAAATGTTATTAAAAAGAATAGATTAACTCTTACAACAAAGGACAAGGAATCCTTCATAAAAAAGAAACCAAAAAGGAAAGGGGAAAAGCAAAAGTATTAGCACAAGACAACTTCCCAATCTCACTGAAAAGTGACTAAGGAGATGTCCTTAGAGAATCCTTGAGCTTTGGCCCAAAGATGCAAAGAAGATCAACCTGTCTGAAAGGAAAGATTGAGGTAAATAATAGTTTTTGGACAACCTAACATCACACTCTAACCAAAACATCTGCAGACTAGCAAAGAGAGCACCTCTTTGAAGCATCTCTTCAAACTACCTCTCTCTCTGTTATTTATTTATTTGTTTATTTTTTTTTCCACTGGACAAACTACCTCCCTTAAGGTTCACGAAAAGAAAATCCTCAAGGGAAGAAGGAACCATTCCCATGTAGCCAAAGTTTAGCAGACAATTTGCACCAAAGCCCTCAACTTTTGTGTAACACATAACACATACATAAAAAAATAGTCCGACTAGTTTAGCGAACCTGCAACAGATCATTAGTATTGAGTCAATTTGGAAAATAGTCCAGAAAAATAGCTTAATCTTTGAGACTTTGGCCTTCCAGAAAATGCGAGTGAAAATCTCATTGTGGCAGCCAGACTTTTAGTAAGACAGTTAAGGAAGCTCACAAGTGTCTAAAGTTCAAAGTTCAAATTGTGCTATCGAGTCGATGAGAGGGAATAGAAGGTTTGGGAGAATTCGATTGTCTTGTTCATTGGATAATACACAAAAGTTACACATATATATACTGCAGCCCTAACTATAGAAAAAGAAACTTAATTATTTTAAGATCTAATGATTTATGAAATATTCTACCATAAGAATCTAATTAAATAAATCTAATTCTAGGGATATAATCTATTACAAAAGGAAAAAATTATATACATGCAATTAGTTGTTTTTTCCCACTCTCCCTCAACCTTCACATAAGTGTTTTCTATTCTCAGTTTGAAAATAATACTCTGAAACTAGACTATTTAATTCTTTGTTAAGTACATTAGCAAGTTGGTGATGTGTGGATGCATAAGGTGTACAAATCAATCCACTCCCTAATTTTTCTTCGATGAAGTGTTTGTCAACTTCAATATATTTTGTTCGATCATACTATATCAGATTATGAGTTATGCTGATGGCAAACTTATGATCATAATAGAGTTTCATTGTACCATCACATGTAATGTCTAAATCTTCTAAAATGATCTTTATCTAAAGCAGTTCACCTGCACCCTTTGCCATTGTCCAAAATTCTATTTCTACACTTGACCCTGCTACCATATTCTGTATTTTACTCATCTGTAGTACTAGATTATTGGCAAGAAAAGTGCAATATGAGGTGGTTGACCTCTTGTCAATAATTGATCCAGCATAACTATTGCCTATATATTCCTCAAGAACTAAACCTCTATTTCTTTTGAGGAGAATGCCTTTTCTTGGTGTACCTTTAAGATACTGCAACACTTGGCTAGTTGCCTATAAATGGACTTCTTTAGGGCTGTGCATAAACTAACTGATCGCACTTACTGTATGTGCTATATTTGATCGCGTGTAACATAGATATAGGAGTCTTCCTACCAGGCATTGACACATTTCTCTCTCTACTGCTAAATCCTCTTCTACATTTGTCAGTTTAAGATTTGGGTCTATTAGAGTACTTACTGGTTTGCATGTTGTCTTGGTCGTTTCTTTGAGAAGATCAGTAACATACTTCTGTGGGGACATAAAATGCCTTATCTAGAGTGAGCTGCCTCATTCCAAGAAAATATTTCAACTGGCCTGATGCCTTGATCTCAAACTCTTTAGCCAAGTGCTGATTTTGATGTTGTCTCTTCCTGTCATAATCACTTGAGGGTGAGTGTTTACTTAATATTTTATGGTCCCCTTGGCTTTCCTTATATCCCATGATCATTATACCTAATTGCTTAAGTCCGTACAAGGCCTTCTTTGACTTTGGAGAAAATAGGTGCCAAATTGTGTCTATAACCTGGTGGGACCTCCATATGAGTTTCGTCCTCTAGTTCTCTATGCATCAATGCATTTTTAGCACCAAACAACTACAATTTCCAACCAAAATTAGCTGCTAATGACAATAATATTCTGGCAGTATTTCACTTTGTAACCAGAGCAGAGGTCTTTAGATAGTCAATTCCATAAATTTGAGTATATCTTTCGGTCATAAGTCTTGCCTTGTATATTTCTATCGATTCATCTACTCTATACATTACTATATATGCCTACCTACTACTTACTGGTTTTTTTGCTGCCGACAACTTCATCCTATACTTTTTTTAATCTAATACCTCCATTTCCACATTCAGTAGATTGTTCCTATTTCTCACAGGACAAAGCGTAAGATAAGGTAGTGAAATTTACAATTGTGTTCAGGCAAACAAGGAAGGTCTTATGAGATGATGGAAATTTTTTTAAATGATAATAAATGTGAGAGGTGGTATAAATGTTGTTCTATTCACTCTCTAGTCCCTTTCCTCATAGCAAGCGAAGGTCCTGTGCATTATTGCTCACACGAGATTCAGTTTCATCTTGCTATGAAGGATTAGAAAATTGTTACCTTATTCTCAGGATCTGGGTTGGAGTTGGAGAGTCCATAGATTCTAGGATCATCATCTTCCTCCTTTTTAACACCTTATCTTTGCCAAATCTCACATTTCAAAGGCAGGGCCCCTGCCTGTTGTTTCTTGAGGAATGTCATGTTCTGGCTCAGACATAGGAGTTGACACAGAGGAATGAAGTAAAGACTCTTGATTAATTACAGGTAATATTGGCAAGTTTAGTAAAAGATTCTTATCGTCCATTATCAAATTCACTCCTTGAAGATAAGGAGTGATGAAGTTAGAGTCATGCTTATGGAAAGTAACATCCACCAAAACATAGAACTCTTTTGATGATAGTAACCCCTATATCCTTTTTGAGTTCATGAATAACCCTCACATACACACTTTAATGCTCTTGGATTGAATTTTCTGCAAGTTGGACTGTGAATATGGATGACTGATACACACCTAAATATCCTGGGGACAAAATGATTTATTATGTATAGATTAGGTTAGTATGTGGAGAGAATGTCCGTTGAACTCTTTAATCCCAAGGCTCTAGGTGGTAAATTAAAATATATATTAATTTCTATTTTTGTTTTGTTTTAATAAAAGTAAAAAATT